GTGGCCCCACCCCATAACAAAGAAACAGAATTTCTGGAGGATAAGGCCCAGAAACCAGGATTTTAAAAAGATTCCCAGGTGATTCTAATGTGCAGCCAAGGTTGAGAACCACTGACTTAAGTGGATCCTAAAAGTCCTTTTTTGTAATTCATGAGGGAAAGGAGTGAGGGGAGAGGTGAGGAGAGAGGGGAGAGGGGAGAGGGAGATTGTCTGCCTCCTGCACATGCCTGGACCAGGGATAGAATCCGAAATCTAGTTATGTACCCTGACAGGGAATCCAGCAACCTTTTGGTGCACAGGGCAATGCTCCACCAACTGAGCAATACCAGCAAGGGCTTTTGGTTGCTCTTAAATTAGAGCTTCCATTTCACATTCAGAAGACTGCACTTTGGAGCTAACATTTATTTCACTTTCCAAGAATTTCTTCTTTGTTTCCTAAAACATAATTCAAGCCAGAAATGTGAGCCTCAGATACAGCATAAAACTTCTAGAAGCCTCATTAAAGAATAGCAAAAAGAAACAGGGGAAAGTAATTTAAATCAACCAACTATATCCAAAATATTATCCTTCTGAGTAGACAGAGGGAAACTAGGTAGTCAGGAATAGGGATCATGGGGAAGTAAAACTGGGGAATCCAACTAGGCGGAATTGCTAAGGCAACCCAGCTGGGCATGGAAAGAAGGGCATACAAGAGAGACAGACTAAAATGTATGGATTGTTGCTAAAGACAAGCAAGTTGCAGATAACCAATCACAAGGCAATAAGACATATAACCTAATCTCAAGGATGTTGCTAAGACAAAATTCTTTGAAAAGACCAATCAAGAACTAGCAAAGCTGCATCCACCCTTAAAAAGTGCGAGCTCCTCTTCTCCCTCTCCCCAGCGTGCTAGATTCTTGGGTTGATAGGAGACACGTTCCCTTTTGCCTACGTGGCTTATGGCCATGTGGGGCTCTACGCATGGACTAATAGACTTTAACACCCGACTATAACATGGGAAGGAAGCTCTGGACACTGGCCTGCTCCTGGGTCCCCAGCTGCACCTTTTCCAGGATTGGCTTCTCTCAATAAACTTTGCCTCCATTAATTAGTTTTGTCTGTGACTTCATTCTTTGATTTCACGAGACAACGAACTCGGACTCAAACCCCACATTTTGGTTTCACTTTCAACATTTAATCAATATAAAAATTAATATTCTTTTGTACTGAGTCTTAAAACCCAGTGTACTTTGCGCTTACACATCTCAACGGATGTCACATTTTAAGTGCTCAATAACCGTATGTGATGAGTGGGTACTGTACCAAATGGCACAGCCAACGATATAAAGAAATGTGAGACAGAATTGTTGTCTGCAAGAAACTTACAAAATAAACAGGAGACTAAAAAGCAATTATAAAAATAAAATAACAATAAATGTTACAAAGTAATATAACTTCTGAGTAGGAAATACAACACATACTATGGATGTACAGGAGGAAGTGCTTCCTGTGGGATGGAGTCTTGTCAAGGACACGGGCCTTGATCAGGTACAACCTGGAGAGAAGCTTGGGGAGCCTGGGGGAGGCAGGGGGGGGAGGAGGGACGAGGACTTGGCAGATAGAGCAGTAATGTGGGAAAGCCAAGAGAGAGGTCTGACCAGAAGAGAGAAAATTAGCTGGTCTGAAGAAAAGAACCTGTGCTAAGAACTCTGGAAAAGAATTTGAAAAACCGATGGTGAAAGTCTGCCAGGAAGGATTTTTGAACAGGGGAATGACATGATGAAAGAGTTTTAAGATCAATCTCAATATATGAAAATGCTGTGATCCTGGATAGGAAGGCTGAACATTATAATGCTGTCAATTCTACCACAAATAAGTTCTAGGTTTAAAGTCATTTCAACTTAAATCCCAAGGTTACTTTAAGATTATCTGGAATAAATGGGCACGGACAATGAAGAAACTTTAAGAAAAAAAGAAGAAAGGATATTTGCCTACCTGATTTAAAAAGACATAATAGTACAGCTAGGACAGAAGATTAGATGACCACATTAAAAGAAAGAACATGAAGTATAGAGAGAAGTGGGTCATAATCTATAACTATGAAATAATATACCCCAAGGTGGCATTTGAATTTCTTCTCTGGTAATGTCCTTAGCCCATTTTTTTGTTGTATTGGGTTATTCACTATTTTCTTATTTATAAAAGCTTATCATGTATTCAGAACACTAACCCTTTGTTAGTCAAGTACGTGGTCTTTTGTGGGGAAGCACGGGACTTGGTTGTAATGTCTGTAAGGATTCTCCGAAAGGCCGGGGGTCTCTGAGGGAAACTTGACGAAGGCAGCAGCCTCTACTTTGACTTTTCCAAACAAGTCTGACCCCCCAGGTGTTTTATTAGAATCTTTATGTTTAGACTTCACAACATCCTTGTTTAAAAGACACTATAGTTACAGACACTTTCTCAAGGATGCTTACCCTGCTGATTGTATCTAAAGGTTAATTTTAGTTCAAGCTGTTGTGACAATAAAAGCCTAAAGGAGGCAGGTGAACAGGGCTGTTTGCTCCTAAAGCAAGCAGCCCCTTAGCCCTCTCTTTCACAGAAACGTGTGTCAGAGTAATCTTTCATCCGTCATTCAGGGTCTGCCAGTCAGCTCTGGCAGTCTTTTAATGTTCTTTGATATACAGAATATTTAAATGTTTTATTTGATGAAATTATATCAACCTTTTATGTTACAGTTTCTACTCCTGAGTTAGGGGATATAACTTAGAAATACTTCTATTATATTCTAGAATTTTAATTTATTTTTTACATTAAAATGTTAAAATGAAATTAATTTTATTGTAAAGAATGAGATGGAGATGTAACTTATTTTCATAATGGTTTGCAACTGATTTAAAAATATCCTTTTCATGCCCTAACCTGTTTGGCTCAGTGGATAGAGCGTCGGCCTGCAGACTGAAAGGTCCCAGATTCGATTCCGGTCAAGGGCATGTACCTGGGTTGTGGGCACATTCCCAGTGGGGAGTGTGCAGGAGGCGGCTGGTCGATGTTTCTCTCTCATCGATGTTTCTAACTCTCTATCCCTCTCCCTTCCTCTCTGTAAAAAATCAATAAAATATATATTAAAAAAATAAAAATATCCTTTTCATATATTTAATTATTACATTTATTTGGGCTTGTTCCTATACTTCTTTTGTTCCACTGACCTGTCACTTTCTGCAATAATACCACACTTTACAATTTTTAACACTTTAGAATATATTTTAATATTTGACAACACAAAGCCCACGTCCTAGGATAAAAATGGGAAAAAAATTCCAATATTTTATTCGCCTTAGGCCCAAAGTCTACTTTGATAGAATACTATGTTCTTATTTAAAAAAACACTCATATTAGAGTTTGTAAAGCACAGGCTAAAAAAATGTGTCAAACAGCCTGGCTGGTGAAGCTCAGTGGTTGAATGTGGATGCATGTACCGAGAGGTCCCAGGTTCAATTCCCAGTCAGGGCACATGCCTGGGTTTTGGGCTCCTTCCCCAGTATGAAACTGCAGGAAGCAGCAGATCAATGTCTCTCTGTCATTGATATTTCTCTCTCTCTCCCCCTCTCCCTTTCTTTCTCTTTAAAATCAATAAAAGCATTTTTTTAAAAAAAGTTTCAGTTAAATTATTAGTGCTAAAATTCTCTTATAAAATCATATGGTAATGTTTGACAGGATATGCAAAACCCCTTGTTGTATAAGAAGAGCTACACATTGCCCCAGGGTTACCCTTTCCTGTGCAAAGCTGGACCTTCAGACTGATACACTGCATTAGGCTGAGCTGTCAGGCTGCAGATACCTGAGCATGTCCTTCTGTGCCTGCTCTGGGGACTCCGTGTCATCTGAGTTGCACTCCCAAGTCCACAGGCTCCCTTAGAGTCTTGGTACCTGGGAATACAGCTGTGGTAGCACACCTCTGTGCTGTATGTGACCTGGAGTTTGTTTCCAGTGATAGACAGAAACCCAAAGTGGGACACACAGGCTCCCCCTAATGGCTTTTTCCTGCTAAAACATCGCTCATCATAGTTTCCCAAAAGATCTTGGCTCTTCTAACTTGTTTATTCTTCTGGCCCGGAGGATGCACATAACTCTCCGTAGTTAGGGGAGTTATGGTACATTAGAGGCTTTTACATAGACAGGCATTCCTCACTGTCTGAATGCTTGCTACATGTTACCTGAAACTCATGGACCAAATACACTTGGATAACTGATAGCCTTCACCATCTGAACTCAGGAACTATAAAGACTCAGACAGTAAGGGAGCGATACAGTGAGTATCATGGGGGTAGGATATTTTGGGGAAGAGTCCATTGGTCTCCATCAATAGCTGAGATTAAGAACAATGAGGATAAGTAGCCCAGGGTCCTTCTACTGGGTCTAGCAGGCTGTCCTGACAAGACCCATAAGGCATTGAGGGGGTGGCAGAATCATCAAGATGATTCAGATCAGATCAGGACATGGGTGCACTGTAAGCCAAAAAGATTATTCTTTTGACTATTGGAGGGCTTTGAGTAGGAGAATCACATTTGTTTTCTGTGTTTTAAAGATCATTTTGGCTGCTGTGCAGATGAGGCTAGAATAGAAACCAGGAGACTAGTAGTCCAGGCAGGAGATGATGGTGGTTTGGGATTGGATGGTAGTAATGGAGGTGGTGACAAGTAGTGAGGCTCAAGATGTATTCTGAAGACACACTGAGGTCTGACTAATGTATTAGATGGGAAGTGAGGAGGAAAGTGAGGCACTGAGGGTGCCTCTAAGGTTTCTGGCCTGAGTAACTGGGTGAATGAAATGGGGCAGGCTGGTGGTTGAGCAGGTCTGGAGTGTGTGGGTCTATGAGGGGAAACAAGAGTTCTCTTTGGGACATCCTCAGTTTGAAATCACTCCAGGCATTGATAAAGTTGGTTATGAGAGTCTGGAGTTTGGGGAAAAGGTCAGAATGGAACTCCTCATCTTGCACTCCGTATACACACATACCAGCTGAATGAAATATTCAACTGCTTGACCTGTGGTTGCCACATGTTTTTGGCTGATGCTTTATTCACATCACCACCTGGCTGGAACACCCTTTCAACCTTTCTCTCGCTGACTGACTTGCCCTTTAAAACTAAGATCCACGTACTCGCCTCCAAAAAGCTTTCTGGGAACAGCAGGTTGAGTTGGGAGCCCCCATCTGTGCCTCAGTGGGCAAACCAGGTCAGAAGCGAGCTGCCCACTAGGTGCTCTGTATCCCCAGCTCTCGGTCCGAGCTCGGCACATGGTAGGAGCTGTGCTCCTGTTTGAGGGAGGGGCGCGCTCAGAAGACTTGCTTCCCTTCCCTCGTGGAGAGAGCCTCTGAGGCCTTGGCTACTAAAGGTAGAGGAGGGGTGGTTCCAAAGTCTCATTCCTCGGGGAAACTTCCCAAACCGCTCCCTGAGACCTAGCCGACCACTGCCCCCGCTCCCCGCGCCTCTCCGACGGTTTCACAGCCTGCGGAGCCGCGCCGGAGAGAAGCCCCGGAGCTCGCCTCCGCCTGCCCCGGGGCC